AGAAAGAGTAGGGGAAATAAAAGAAAACTAAAAGTAAGAGAAAGACAAGAGTGGTAAGAAAATGCACTTACTTTTTCGCGAGTCCCACTGTAGACATTCATTTATCTTTAAATGGGTGGCGTTAAAATCTTGGAGGGTAGTAGCCTACATATTAAGGTGACTTCGTGAAAAACCATTGTCGACATCATTTTATGTCGGATTGCTACCTAAAGAGTTTCTATAAGTGGCTCTGGTTGGAAACCGATGTTACTGTATGGAAAACCTCAAGGGCTAGTAGCCGATCCACTTGTCTTCTTGATGTAAGCCTTTGAATCAAAAAGGAAGTATGCATATTCCTTGGTTTTGTAAAAAGTTTTGTGTTTTAGAAAAGAAGAGGATTTAGAATCATTTTTATTTCAAAATAAAGGATGATTTATGGTTTGATGGCTTGAGATTAAAGTTAGGATGTTTAACTTGTGGAGTCCTTCCTGAGACGAAGATGATTTATTTACTTAGAATCTTGAGATTGTTGCTCATTCATCTTTCTAGCATGTTCATTGTTATAGATTTGTTGTTGTTGTTTTTGCTTGAGGACAAGCAAATGGCTAAGTTTGGGGCTGTGTTAGGGTTGACTTTTTACTACAGAAATGTGTGTCGATAGGCCTATTTGACCACGATTTTGAACCTTTTCCCATCATTATTTGTCAAAAAGAATTACATATTCTTAAAGTAGAACATGTATAGAACATTTCTGGATAAGTTTCAATATATGGTACTTTAGGAAAAAAATGAGGAAAACATGGTCAAAGTTCGATGAAAATAACAGTTTTCGGAGTTTGCATGAAAATTGCACCTGGTGCCATTTTGGAGTAATTTTGCCAACTTTGCCAATTAATGAAGAGCAAGGAAGACATTTCCTACATGTTTGAATCAAGCTACAACCGTGAGTCCAAGTCAAAAATGAGTTGTTAGGTGAATCTCCACCTAAAAAGATGGGGAGTTCAACCAACTCAAAGGCCTATAAAATGGAGTCTCTCCCTCAACAGCAAATCATCCCTTCCAAACTCGTTTTCAGCTTCATTTACCTCCCTTCATTGTATAACTCGTTCATATGCTTTAGATTTATGTCTTAGTTGTTATTTCCCTGTATTTTCATACTTTTGCTTTGCCTTTAATTCAAGATCTACCTTTTGTTCTTCATTTATTCTGTTATTTTTTAGTTCTTTAGTGAGTTTACACTCCCATTACACTCGAAAGATAATAGGGTCAAACTAGAACTCCTTGTACGGCTTATTTATTCGTTTTAATTCAATGAAAAATACTTACTTTATGTTTTCGTGCATTTTCTTTCCTTTAATCATGGACTAGATTAGTTATCAACCTCTTTGTGGAATGTCTTGGTCAAAATGATTTGATTTTCAACAGCTCGGGATTTTGCCCAGGATTGTGCCTGGCACTTTTTTGGGTTGGTTTCTAAAAACTTCTCATTACATTTGTTTTTCCATTTGCCCGGTGGGAACTTGATTTACACACTGAAGTTCAACCATGAGAATGGTGAGTTAGGTAAAATAATAGGAAACCAATATGGGATGTGATTTAGACATAATGGCATAAAACATGGTCCTAGACATAGGCCCTCTGACCCATAATGCAAATCAGTTGATAAATATTCTCTATGATTTAATCACACATAGACATATGATTGTAGGTTACCCTAGCCTCTGTAGCAACCAAAAACGATAGTGAAAGTGTAGAACTTAGTTTCCCAAGAAGAGCCAGAATTGCACCTAGAGCATATTCCGAACATCGTGTATTTCCCATGTTTTGCATCAAAACTAAGGTAGGAAGTAAAGAGGTTGAGTTTTATTAAATTGCTTGATATTTAAAACCCCAAACAACAACATTTCATCACTATTTTCTTCATAAACCACAATTGCATGTTAAGCCATTCACTTCTTTAAAACCGGTTTTGAAAGCAACAAGTCCCTGAGGATTCGACCTTGGATTACTCCCAAGTATTACTTGTGACCAAGTGCGCTTGAACGAGTCTCTAATCTTTTTAAAGGTAGAGAAAGTCCCAACACCTACGGATCAAGCGACGAGCTTCAGTCACCTTGGATTCAAAAAGGATTTGAGAGAGTTTGAAGATATTGAAAGAGTAAAAGTGAAGAATGAGCCACTCATAGCAAAGTGATGATAGATTTGAATTGTTCGCATAAATTCAAATTCAACGGCTTAGATTTGATCCCGCCAAAATGCAACCCCTAATGACATTATCTTGTGTCAACTTGCCGCTTCGATCCTCGTGATCTCTTTATGATTTAACTCACTCCTCGACAAGCGGAGATGCAATGTCTGCTTTGTTGAGCCGACCTTGTAGCTCGACAAAGTGGGGGCCAATGTTGGAGGTGACTTCTAACCAACCACGTGTCAGCATGTGATATGCTCAATAGTGACGAGTCAGCATAATGATTCACACATGAAAGAAATTGTATCTCGGACCTTGGTAAAGGCAGAGCGAACTACAAGAAATGGTCATGACCATGGTTTAAAACGTTGATCGACACTTCGACATGTCGACCTCTCGTCGACATATCAATGAGGGGGGAAAATAGTTTTCCCCTTTTACTGATAATATGTCGTCGACACCTCGAAATGTTAAGGTGTCGACAACATTCCGCCTATTATTGTTCACTTCATATCTTCTTTTTTTTTCGGATTCTATTGTGGTGATTCTCTCATACTCATCTATTTACCAACTGTTCCACTAAACTTGGCCTCTTTCATCTATTTACCGTGATTCTATCATCCAAAAAACTGCAAAACTATTTTCAAATAATTCAATTTCAACTCCAAGCTTGAAATTAATTTAGTATTTGAATTCATAATTTCTTTTTTGTTGTATAGTAGTTAAATTTTTCTAATTAGTTTTAAAATATCAAGAGAATTTTGAAAACTTAGATAAGATTTTTATTTTTCTTTTACAAAGATGTTCTATTAAGAAAAGTAAGCAAATAAATCATAAATCAAATATATATCAAATAAACCTAAAAAAACAAATAAATTGACACGACCCGCCTTAAACACCTACTAACTATAGGACAAATCGTGCCGACTACAGACCCTCAACCATCTACCAAGTCTATAGTCAACTTCTTCCTAAATTTCTAAAACTAATTTAGATTATTCTTCAACATATAAGACATAAAGTGTAACATAATCATCTCAAAAATAACTACTCGGCCACGACTCCTAAACATGTTGTACAATCACAGAAGGTACAACTATTCCAGTATAAGTCATTCCAGATGTACATACAAAATGATATGCAAATTCTGAGACAGTGAGTGGCAGAAACTGGTCGGCAAGTCTCTATGAAACTCAGGTGCAGCCTGGTGGAGAAAAACAATGATAAACAGTGAGCTAGGAAGATCAGTGAGTGGCATTTTATTAAGAAAATAATTTCGTAAAACTTATTCCATAAAAACAGCTGAAATTTCAATTCTTAAGACGAGCTTCATAAAGCTGAAATAATAAACATTCTCGTTAAAACTTCATATAACTTGAGCAACTAAAATTCAGTAATTTTCTGAGCATAACTTGTAACAACATATACTTCCTAAAAACATTTTCTGAAATACATATCAAATATCTTCTTTCAAACCTAAAACAGATTAAGGAAACTCAACACCATATATGTATCCACATTCTATTCTGGTCTACTAGCGCAGAGTAATCTCAATACGCACAGCAGAATAATTCTATTTCTGGTCCACTGGCATAGAGTAATCTCAATATACACAGCAGAATATTTCTCTCAACACGTGGACTAAAATGGTCCCAAAGACCTTCTATTTCTGGGTATACTATTGAAACACATTCACATAGCATAAGGGTAATCACCTGGATACAACAATATGGTGGTTTGAAAACGATTCTCAGAAAATCATAAAACATTTCTATGTTCTAAAAAACATTCATAAATTCTCAGCAAACTCAATTTCTCAGCAGAAATAATCAAACATACGTAATATATATTTTCTTGAAGTTCTATAATAGATATCTTAAAATATTTAGTAAAATAACCACTCACAAATCCTATGAACGAGGTGAATTTGGTTGGTACGCTGCTCCAATTTCCGATCGTCCTGAAATAATAACCAATGAAATTTCAATTCACCCTCAATTACCAATTTAAACTCTACAATTCTTCAAATTAAACCATAAATTTAATCAACAACCTCATTCTCTCTCTACCATCCAATTACACCTCTTCCTCTCTCATCTTCCTTACAAATGGGACCCACTTCCCACAATCATATCCTTTTAACCCATTCCAATTTATTACACGTGAAAAGCCTCAATTCCCAACCATTTTTTTCCTTTCATTTCCTTTTATTTTTAATTTTAATTCCCAACACATAGCCTTTCTCTCTCCTCTACACTATTCATCTTCTTCTTCCCAAACCACAACCAACGAGACCTTCCACTTCTTCCTCTCCATTTCTTATCTTCTTCTTCTTTTGCTTCACAGATTCCTCCGACCTACAACAATGAAATCATGCACAGAGGCTGAAACCATCACAAGAGTTCAAGAAATCTCTAAGGCAAAGCAACACCCATAGACCATTTCATTCCAAACTCGAAAAAAAAACTTGTGATTCACAAACCCACAAAGCAAGAGAGTCCATACCTAGAATTTCAGGGTTTAAAAATTCCAAAACTTACCAAAATCAGGTTCCCAACCTCAAACCGGTTTCAGAAACTTCAATTTCATCCTCTCCTTCCTCTGTTTCGTTTTCGTTCCTTTGGTTTCTTTTTTTTTTCCTTCTCTTCTTTTTCTTTCGTTTTCTTCTCTGTTTCTTTTTTTTCCTTTTACTTATCATCTCTACGTGGCTTCCTACACAACACACACACACATCTCACTTTTCCACTTTCCTTTTCTTTTCTTTTCTTTTTCCTTTTTAAAAAAAAAACCTAAAATTACGAAAACACCCTTATATAAATCATAAATCAAATCTATATCAAATCAACCTTAAAAAAATCTATATCAAATAAAACTTTCATATTATAACTGCAAGGCAAGACAAATATAAATATTAAATCAACTTATTTAATAGTATAAAATCCATAAAAGTAATTAATAAATAAGTGTTGATATGAATTTAGTTTAAGTTGATTGATTCATCTTATCAAATTTATAATATTATCAAAAATACTGACAAATATGCTATTTAAATATATATAAATACATCAATATTTTATTAGTAAATAAATAGTATGAACCTTTTATAATAAAATAAATATATTAATGATTATATGATAAAATATTGGATAGTTAGTATATGTATCTTAGTAGTACAATAAAGTTTCTCCCAATAAATTTCTCCCCACTAGATTTTGGGACCAAGTAGCATGTTATATTTGAATTTCTAATTCACTCAAATTATTTTTATTTTATTTATTTTAAAATAGGTTTACTAACTATAAATATCCTCTTACTTTCAATTCTTCCTCACAATTTCACATCCACGACTATCAAATAATTTCCATGAATTTCATAATTTTATTTTGATTTCTTCATCGCAACAACATTTTCATAAGCATATTACTTATATATTTAGATATTATGGTTAAAACTGATAAATTATAGGCTAATTAAGCTACAACTAAAGTCTTATTTACTAATTCAAAAAATTTGCATCAATATTCACAATTTTCATGATTTTTTTCTAAAATATCCGCCCACATCAACATATCCGTAAAATTAGGATTTCGACATTTCCAATTGACATTTCGGACCTTGGTCATTACCTATGTTCCATAACAAGTCAACCAAAGTCTCACACCTCGACGACCTGAGCCCAAACTTATACCTCGGTCATCTGAGTTATCAGCTGAGCCGACCTATACTTACTTCTGCAGGCACAGATCTCTGACATCATTCACGATAACACGCTGCGATTCTCAGGCTGTCGAACAGTCGTTGGAGGCTTGTCGGAATCTTCGTCCATAGATAGAGACCTATTGTCTAATTTTAGGTATGCGAAATTATATTCCCACTTAAGAGTATAGATCGGTTTTACTATTGACTTGAGCATCATAGTGCTTACTCTCTTTTGGACGTCCCCTACTTGCATCACTTCAGCTCGTTCAGAAAAGTTAGCTCGTTCATTGCCGAACTTTGAGGACTTGGTCAAATTCTTGATCAAACAGACTCTAGTCCAGCTAAATAGACCAGTGACCAAGTATTTCCAAGGTGATTGAGAAATGTCACCTGTGATGATCTTTTATTTCTCTATACGTGGTAAGTGATATTTTACCTTCCAACTCCAACACTAGGCTTAGATTGACATATAAAATTATTTATTTGAATGAAAAAATAAAAAGAGATTCATGTTTTATTATTATTATTATTATTATTATTATTATTATTATTATTATTATTATTATTATTATTATTATTATTATTATTATTTTGCGAAAGCATACATAGCAGCACAGAAAAAAAATTATAAATATTAGGGTAAAATACACTTTTAGTCTCTGAGTTTGAGGATCTGTTTCTATTTGGTACCTAAGTTTCAAAAAGTGACTGTTTAATTTCTAACCTTTAGAAGACTGTATATTTGCTTTAGGCTTGCAAAGATGCTTTATTAGTGGTTGTAGGAAATTCATCAGTCTGGATGCATGTCATCTAAAAGGATCATGTTAATGACCGCTTATGTCGGCAATAGGAGTGGATGAAAATGATTGCATCTATCCATTGCATGGGCATTTGTTGAGCAGAAACGAAGAATTCATGGACATGGTTTTTGTACTTTTTGAAATATGACATTGGTTCATCCAATGACATTATCTTTACGTCTGATCAACAAAAGGTATTTTCTCATCCAAAATTTACCAATTATTTTTTGAACTTGATACTTATATATTGATATCATGTTTTTTTTCTTTTCCATTTTTATTGATTACATTATTGTTTAACTTTTCTTATCAGGGACTAGTGCCTACCTCTAATGATTTGTATCCAAATATTGTTCATAGATTATATGTGAGACATTTATATGCAAACTTTAAAATGTTCAAAAGGGATGGCGGTTGAATAAGCATTTTGGCAGGCTGCTAAATGTACAAATAGGTCAGAGTTTAATGATGTCATGACAGAACTAGGAAAACTAGATGTAAATGCATACCAATAATTGAATGGGATATCTACAAAATATTGATCTAGACATGATTTTAGAGCTAATGTGAAGTGTGATATATATTCCTTTAATGCTTTCATTTTGCATGCAAGAGATAAGGTGATAATCCAGATGCTTGAGATAACAAGAAAATTGGTAACGACCCAAATCAGTAAGAAATCAAAGGTTACTCTAAGTTTAATGGTCCATTGGGGAGACGAGTTCAACTGAAATTGGATAAGAGTAAGTCTTTGTCTAGTAGATCGATACCATAGTGAGCAGGAAATATGATGTTTTAAGTTAATGAAAATACTAGCCAATATGTTGTAAATCTAGCGCTCAAAACATGTGGTAGTAACGAGTGTATCTATTATATTAAAAAGGAGCCTGAAGAGATTGTTGATGAATTATTTCACTAGGAAACTTAAAGAAGAACATACACTCATTTTATTAAACCAGCGAACGGCCCCACATTATTCCTAGAACCGTAGAAGACTCGTTTAAGCCACTTACCTTGAGAAGACTTCCAAGAAGATCAAGGAGACAACGAAGAAGAGACATTGATGAGGAAGTATCATCCAGTTGGATGAGAAGACATGTTGCATCAATAAGGTGTGGTAAATGCAAAGCTATTACCCATAATGCATGATCTTTCAAGGTACCTGTAAATTCGATAGGCCAAAAAAGGAGAAAGAATACATTTATGGGCTTCACTATTTCTCAACTTGTAAGTTACAGTAAATACAAAGTTATTTCATATACTTTGATTTTGTTCGATCATTATTAATTTTTTGCCAAGTATATTTATGGATGGGGCCTAGTCCGACCTTTTAAATTGTTATGGTTATATGTACGAACAAATTAAAGACACGATGATTTATTATGCTATAATCAAGTGCCTTTTCACTATGATTCAAATTGTTTTTTAGTACAATATATAGGATGAGGATTCGAACTTATAACCTTTTGATTAGATATATATCCCAATTCAATTTATCATTCAAATTGTTAATTGTTATTCTCGTGCTTATATTTTTTACTATTGTCACGGGTAAGAATAGATAAAGGACAAAAAGATAAAAATTAGGCAAACTTAGTAAATTCTAGGCAATAAAATAGGTTAAAAAAATCGGAGTCATGGATAGTCTCTAACGAGGGATAATGACTCAAATGACCCTCCCAAAATAACTTTTTGCTCAAATAACCCACCCTTAAATAAATGTTTTGGATGACCAATTCTATTATTTTAATTAAATTAAAATTAAACGAAATTACATATCTACCATTGCCTCCAAAACAACCGTTAGCCTCCCCGTTTCCCCCTCTTTCTCTTCCTCTCCTTTTCCGTTTTTTTCATCGTTTATTCCTCTGTTCAAGAACTAAAGCGGACTAAAAAGCTCCCTTCCTTGCGGTTGGCATTCAATATTGGAGGTAAGTTAATTTCGTTAGTTTGTGTAAATAGGGTTTGTCGATTTTAGCATCTAAGAATTTCCTTTTCTATTATCATCAATTTTATTGTTTTTAGGGTTTAGTTTTCATCAATTAAAAGGTTTTAATGCTCATCGTCATTATCTGTTAGGGTTAGAAGGGTTATAGGTTTGTAAATGTCGGGTTTAAAGTGGTTTGAGGTTAAAAAGGTGATGAATCGGGGTGATTTTGAGCGAAATGGGGTAGGAAGCTGGTGAATTCGAATTTTTTAATTGGGGGTTTATGTTATGAAAAAATTCCTGGGACGAATTCGAGTGAGGAAGACTGAGGTTTCCAATTTTTTAGAGGTTCTTCGTGAAACACGTCGCCCGAAAATCCCCGAGAATTTTTTCGTTTGCATATTAATTCTCGAGGACGATTTCGCCCAAATTTAAACCCGAGGAATTTGACAGTATTGAAAATTTTTGGTTTTTAATTCTCGGGATCAATTTCACCCGAAGTCGACATCGAGAAATTTCACAGTACGTCAACAAAATTGGTTTTTTTGATATGTCAATTGTTCACTTGGTTGTTTCTAGGTTCTTTCTACCCAATTATTGTGTTGTTTTTATTCTTGACTCTCCTTCCAGGTGTTGTAAAATGATACCTAAAATCGATCCTGCAACCTATGTCTCTGCCAACCTAACTTGTCTATCGCATATAGCGAAAACAAGCAATGATATTAAGATAAAACTGACCCTAAAACAGCTTGCTATATTTAGGAAAACTGTCTTCGGCCACCTTCTTGATGTGGACCTCGTATTTAACGGGCCCCTGATACATAGTGTTTTACTTAGGGAGGTTGAGGAGAGTACACCAGATACTATTAGCTTCAACCTTTTTGGGACTAAAGTGTCGTTCAGTTGGAGAGAGTTTGATATCATTAGTGGTTTAAAGTGTATTCTAGGAGTCTAGTTAGGAAAATCACGTATCTTCAAAGACTTAGGATCTTCAATAATAGCACGGACCTATTATTGAGTGAGTTGGAGAAGATATATACATCCATTCGGTTCAAGGATGACTTTGATGCAGTCAAGGTGTCAGTAGTGTACTTTGTAGAGTTAGTACTGTTGGGGAGAGAGAGAAACATGAAGTTTGACCATACTTTGCTAGGAATAGTGGATGATTGGGAAGTYTGTTGTAACCACGATTGGGCATTGCTGTCATTTGAGAAGACAA